TTGATAACTCAATCAACTATGGATTGACTCAAGAATAGCCCTAGTGATTATATTTTTTAACCTACTGAAAACTTTACTGTGATACTAATGTATCACTTACAAACCATATTTACAATAGTTTGCTAACTAGAACCAAGAATTGCAAGATTTCAGGATTTCTACAAAATGATTCATTTTCGATCATGTTGGTCTATCAAAATGACAAGATTTACATTTTTTTTGGAGGAAGAAATAAGAACTGGAAAGTATTGGGAGCCATATCATGAAGTCAGGTTGCATGGAACATAACCATTTAACGTGAATTCATTAACTCGAGGATACAAGATAAGCGCAACTTTCGTAATTCATTCTCTTTTCCACGTTTTGCCATCACATATGGTCTCTAATGATAGTCCTGTGCACCTTGTACCCGAGACCTTGCTTTCCAGCACAGTAGGCCAGCCTTACAGTTCTATGCCTTTGAAAGTTTCAGAAGCAAATAATAGATATGTGGAAATCAATGATAAGTTCTGAGCATTTGACGCATAATACTTACAAGTCTGTAACCCACCGAAGTTTCAATAGATTATAAATCCCAATGGTCAGCGTTCACAATCCTCTGAAATCATCGGAAATCACCGGAAAGAAGTAGCATGTATCTACTCTACACAAAGTCCCACGTGATGAAATACCTTCACTGATGTGATTATCATGTCCTGGAAAGTGAAGAATAAATATCTTCCACTAATTACTGATGGGATTTTTGTCTGGGATGCGGATCAACGATTTACAGAAGAAAAAGAAGGTCTTCAACCGTTTCGTCTTTGTCCTTAGTGTAAAGTTACGTCAAGTACAGTAGAAGAACCACTTCTGACCGTAGCATCCGGCCTCCCAGGTTCCGGTTGTGGAAATGGCACAGTGTATTTAACGACTAGCTGGATGACATGTCGGCATATCGGAGGCCTGCGCGAAACAAAAGATTCCCCGATCCATGTACTTCAGTGTTTCTAGACCACAGCCTTTTGGAATTAGAAGGACTGGGCTTTCCGTGTTTCAGAGTTGCTCGGTAAAAAACGAGTAGATATGATTGGAGCGTTTCGAGCAGAACAGTACAGGGGCTTAAACTTTTGACATGAGTTACTGCTACCAACTTATGGCCAGGAGGATGAATCAGTGGTGGAAATGTTTCGATAGTCCCAACAGAGTTTATGGGGCTGCTCCATGCGGTGGGTGAGGGCTATTAGGAGTTTGGCCATTGACGGCCGCGAGGCTTCATCAGGGATTGACGCATGTTTGTTTATTTGCAGCGGAAGATCTATCCGGGATTGATATCTGATGTTTATTTTCAGCGGTAATACTTATCTTTATTCTAACGGTTTAAACCAAGGTGAGAAATTCGTTTTCAACATATATCTTAATATTTCTCAAATAACTCTCTAAAATTTACGTCCCACAATTATTACTATACCGCCATATGTAGACATCGTGAATTCTACCTGAAAAATATGTTATTTCAAGAAAATTGGGCATATTGTAATGTCGAACATCTTTCCCAGTTGAAATACAATCCACAAGTTGGAGGATTTCTATGATTTGATATCCAAAGTAAAAAATTTTATTTTCTTATCTAATTACTTATCTTATTTTGTTATCATACTATTTTCTATCAATGTCTTGAATATTTACTTACAAACGGACAAACAGTCCCACTTCTTTTGCTTGTCATGAATGAAAACACCCTGCATGATAGATTTTTTTAATGCACTGAAGTCATTGCTAACAAGCATTCTTATTCTACTTATCGTGATTGAAATCTATGACAGCAATACAATTTTGATCAATAACTTTTAGCACAGATGTTGATGATATCCGTTTAAAATAAGATAATCACGACGATTAATCAAAGATTATGTATCTTTTCACGTTTAATAAAAATAACATTTTTTTGTAATTACTGAATATAATTCAAGGTCGAATCCAGGCGAATACATTTTGTGGTCATAACAACTTAAAAAGATATTGACCTTTCCAACATTTATCATTCGTCATATGCAAATATGTCTATCAATACGTGAAATTTTTAAACTAAAAAGTTACAATCTCATGGTTTTTATAAGTATATAATAATTTTTATCACAGATTGATACTATTATCCATGTAATATTTTTTTGTGTATTATTCACGTTAAGAAAAATACATACATTACTTACTCTTGAAAGTATTTTCAGGTGTTCGTTTTGTGTGAGTCATAGTTTTCAACAAGCGAACGGAGAGGTGATACTTATATCACGAATATTGCTTTGAAGTTTTGCCATCGAAAGTAGATCAATTGCTCAAATGCATTCATTACTGCTCAACTGTGTAAAAATTCTGGAGCAACTCCACGTTAGTAACAGGTTTTAAGAGATGACTAATCTAAGATATCTATCCTTTTAGCAGGTCAAATACAAACGAATAACCATGTAATACATTGGATATTCTTGAAATATTCCCATTTCCTAAAAGTCTAGTCATTTGTTTGTTTTTGACAGAAGACCTCGCATTTCATGGTCAAAAGACTCATGCAATCCGTCACTATGTTTCAAAGTTTAGGAATTACAGTTTAACATAAAGTTGAGGCTTATACAAAATGAAGGAACAAAAATTTCGTGAGGCATACAGGACACATGGCTTTTAGAAGCCATCAGGTTCAATATCACCAATCTCCGCCAAAACGAAAAAAGACTGTGCCAGCCCTATGCTAAATCATTTCAGTTGTTAGAATTTTGTTCCTGTGTTACATATTCTAGCAGGGCTGAAATACAAGGACGTATCGTACCTGAGTACAAGGAGTGAGGATACCCAATGGGGTTTTCGGATAGAGGCATCTCACCTAGCTTGAGCCAGAAGAAATTATTTTATTCCGTTCTCGTAATAGTGGCAGGGCTGCCGCGAGAAATACTGCAGCTTTCCCGTTTCCAACGAGTTTGCAAGCAATCTCGAGCTGGATTTATCTGAAAAGAGATTCTCTCACGAGCTGTAAAAAGTTCCAAGGTGTTGGTATATACTGAGCTGAAAAGACTCAAGAACTTGAATCTTCAGGTTCTTCACAAATGTACAAATGGATCACGATCTGTTCATGAATAGGATTCATTAACGTGCAGGCCGGAACCTAGTAATCATTGTAGTTCTCTGTACAGGGCTTTCAGCTTCTGTCATGAGCTCCGATTGAGATACAGCTTGAATAGCATCAACCCTCTAGTCCACATAGATCGTCAGTGCCTTGTATAGAAAGGCAAAAACAGATCCAAAGTGCAGTCTTCGATCTAAACCAGAGGATCCCACGCTTTTGTTGCAAACAGTACCATTGGCGGAGATTGGAGATAAACTGGACGTCCCAAGAGTGGAACACATGAACTCAGACATCGATGATAGTGCACAACTGTAACAAGAACAGTTGCAGCCGGGTTAGTCAGAATCTCGTGCATCAATTTAATAGAGTAAACATGTTATAAGCAGATCTGCAGTCATCGAATTTTGTTCAGGATAATATCCATATCTGACATAGTATCAAACTGCTATTCTGTAAGGTTTAAAAGTAGATAATCTTCCTCGATTTCATTCCTGTACTTCGATATGCGATTGATATTTGATAGTGCGAATTTTATACAGTGTTCTTCTCTCATAGGCATCAACGGGCGTAATTAACCAAAGGCCTGGCAATTCGCGTGATGTCGGTATCAAGGTGTCACTTTAGTCTCGGCGGAGATATCGAACAAAATTGAAAGTCTTATATTCTACCAAAAATCGATCGCATCCGCAGTACCGATGGCAGAGGCATGCAATTACTCCTTTGCACATCGGCAAAAGTCTGCAACTGGCCGATATTGGCCATTATTGTGTAAATTGATAATTGGCGTTCGATCCATGAGGCTAAGTGTACGGTTATGTAGAGAGAGATATCGGGTTCGAATGCCTAAATTATTTTCGGCTTATAATTGTAAATAAAATTCCACACCGTGCAGGAATAGAGCCTAGCTTCTCCCTGACTTCCTTCCTGGAACCTGAAGATCCTGATGCTTTGAAGGTGGAAGGTGGAGCAGTAAAGGTCATCAGCGTGCGTGAAATCCATAACTTTAGCTTTGACGTTTGTCCTGAAGGATGTTCCGCGTTGCTTTGTTGACTTTTGATGCATGCAAGAGAACTTAGAGCAGACATGATCGACGCACTACACATAGAATGAAGATCGGAGAACTGGCCACAACAATCCTCTGCAGTAGGCCAACAAACATGCACGACGATCGAGCCAGCCAAAGTCAAATGTCAAAGAGATTCCCCGAACTCCGGATGGAAGATGTGCCAAACGACGGAAGCTCTGTTGTGCATGAGACTCGGAGAATCTGTCACGGTCCCCACCCACTGTCATCATATCGGGTGAGGTGTGTCGCAGTCAACCCAGCCACGCCCAAATCCCAGACCCCAAATCAATCACTTAATCCCTCGATAAGCTCGGATCACCTTAATCGCACGGCACAGTGATAGGAAACGGAAGAATCATCGCGCTCACGAACGGATCCGGCGTGCACGACAACCAAGCTGAAAGGCTCTCGCAGGTACGCGCAAAAGAAGGTCGTGTCTCGTTCTTTGGTGCGAGGTGGGACGCATTTGTGAATCCTAGTCGCCCTGAGTGTCAGGCCGTGGACACGAACACGGACACGGACGGACAGACGTGCGGCTCCAGCCCAGCAGCCCAGCGTGGAGCACAGCAGTAATCCCCAACTCGAAGACCACCTCAGGAGTTTACCGCCGCCGGGTTACCGGACGGCCGTGGACAAGACGTAGTACTGTCCCATGACACACTAACCGGTCAATGGTCAAGTTCACGAGGGACACAGCCACCAACTCTGGAATGGCAAAAGCCGTGAAGCTCGACCTGGGCGGTCGATCTGTCGAGGGCGTTCGTCGAGAGCTGCTAGCTGACAGCGCGAGCGCCCACTCCGCTGATGGCTGCAAATGTCTCGTGTAGACCTTGGAGACATGACAAGACATGAAAGCGCGCTTTTTGATGCAGTTGCACCCTCCAGAAAAGGTATGGCGCTAAACGCCACGTAGGTCCGAAGGCCCCAGAACGCATTCAGCAGCACACCACTGACATCGTCCTCCCTCGCCGTCGTCGTCGTCTCCCGCCTCCTCCCCCTCCACCTCCTCCTGCTTCTGCTTTATCAGGAACTCCAACAATCAAATCTATGGCTGACAACAAAAGTGGCCGCGGAATGAAATATACAAGAGTCGACTTATATCAGACGCCACCCCTTAGCTCGACGACGACGACGACGAGCGGGACTGGAATTCCCATCCCGCTCTCTTGTCATCGACGAGCTAATGGCAGCTCCGCTGTGCTCTGAGTCACATCCTCGTCATGCCGCCCCGATGGCCGCCTCTAAAACGCAATCCCGCGTCGAGCACTAGAGCATGAGCATACGGTCGCTGCAGCTGAGCTCGGAGTCGACTCCCGGAAATCCCGCACGCGATCTCGAACTCTCTGTAATCGCCGTCCAATGTCGATAAATGCAGTCTCTTGGGAATGTCTGTACCCGCTCTCATGCCCGATCAGGATATTGGACCCAGCGTTAGTGGCAAGTACCTAAAGGAACTCCTCGGACTCTGTCGTCCATCCCATCCTCCTCCTCCTCGCTTGCTGTACGTGCTGCTGAGCATTATTATATTAGAACCTAATCTGAAGCTGCACGAGCTTAGCACTGTAAGAGCGCAGTATGCCTCAGAAGTCCAGATCATCGACAATCGAGCTCAGGGGGATACAAAGCAGGAGCGATCTCCGAGGGCTGCATGTCGAGCAGCAGCAGCAGGACGACAAGGACGGGCAGGCTGCCCACTTCCCCGAGGAGCTCGTCGAGCGCATACTTGCGAGAGTCTCGTACCCGAGTCTGTACAAAGCGCGGTTGCTGTGTAGGAGCTGGTGCGCGAAGTTTTGTAAGTCGCCTTCGGAACTATTGCATTTCTCGGCCCCGTTCCAGGAGGAAGTCGCAGCGGCTGCTGTAAGATGGCCCAAGTACGGCCCTGTGTCTGTTCTGGGGAGGGAGCTAGTGGGGTATGATGGATCGTCGAACTGCTGGCGCAAACTAGCTCTGCATGGTCGGTTGCCCGTGGATCTCTGCTCTCCGGCATTCGACAGCTGGAGGCTTGCGTTTGCCGGGTCTCTGATGTGCGCTTTCGGCAGATCACAGGATGGATCGCTGAAGCTGCTCGTGGCGAACGTTTTGACAGGGGACTGGAAGGAGCTGCCTTGCCCTCCCGAGATCAGAGGGCATCCGATTCTAGATTTCCGCTTCGTCAAAGTTGATTCCCAGCATTACAAGGTTTTGGTTCACAATCTTCCCAGCTCACAGTTCCAAGCTCATGTCTACGACTCCAACCGAAGTTGTGGAACCTGGACTAGCTTCAGCAATTCAGCTGCTCCTGCTGCAGGAATTCCCGGCCTGTCTCCTTTCAGTGCTTACGCCGATGCCTACATCGGTGGGAACTTCTACTGCATGTCTGAAAGTTCGATGGGTGGTTTGGTCATATGGAAATTCACTTCAGCGACAGGGGTTTGGGAAGAGGTTATACATTCGGTAGAATTCGAAGGTGGCGAGTTCCCTGGGGGCATGTTCGAGTTTGGATCCAATTTCCTGGTTGTTACGTTGCTCCAGTCAAATTCCATTCCACCGGCTGGAGACAAGCAGATCAGTCTCTCAGCCAGAGTTTACGAGCTGAATCTGCAGTCGTTGAAGCTGACCAGAATTTCAAAGAGTCCTCAAGAACTGGTCATTGGAATGCAGACAGCGAGCTTAGTTGCCGACGCCGAATCTGTTTATTTCTGTGACATTCCGGATCACGGTTTAGCCTCATTCTGCAGGTTCAGTGTAAAGGACCGGACCTGGAGTACTCTTCCCTCATCACCGCCAGAATATAAGTGGAAATGGGGCAGATTCTCGACGTTTGAACCAGGTCTCAGTCCCTTCGCTTCTCCCTGAACTGCGGCATGTGTACGTATCACAATGTACTCAATGCCGCACCTCCTAGCTGACCGATATTTCAAACTATATCGCTATTGATTATTGATTATTGACTATTGATCGTGAGGGTATTTTCAACCTTGTACTTATTACAGTTAGATTAGATGTCTTGTTTAGCTTTAGCTCGCTTTCCCTATCAAGCTGCATCATAAAGCTCCCAGCACCATGTACAGGTTTCAGATTGCTGGGAAGTTATTATGGTCGTGTGTATTTCTACTGCTTCTAAGATGCTTCAGGCTGGACAACTATTCGCGTTTTATATCTGTGAAATTTGATTGAGAGACTCAAAGTTCTAGGTAAGAAAAACCATGGTACACATGTATGTGTTTTAGATCTAGATGTTCATCAGTTCACTATAATAAGGTCTTCAATTTCCCACAATTGGCGGTGGTACGTAGATTTAACCGCGTCAAATAAGAGGGAAGTTGCAAAGCAGTTTATGTGACCTGAACAATGCGGTTAGAGCAAATTGCAGAGTAGATTGGCATATCAGTTGTCTTGCATCTGAACAAACCATCAAGCAAGCCGTTGTCAAGCCGATATGACATGAGTCCATGCAGAGACTGAGAGGGTTAGAATCAAACACTCTGCTACGACTCGCTGTTATATCAAAAGCAATCAAGCCAATCCGACTATCAGACGTATGCCAGTGCATACATCTCATGTTCTGTCCTTATTTGGTAAACTGAAGCTACTTCCAGTTATGATTCAATTCGTAGTTCGGCGAACAACACAGGTTCATCAATTTGGGAATGCAATTCTCGAGTGCAATCCTGCCACCGTCACATATCCGAGAAAAATTTGAAACGTGCCGAATACTGTGCTCATAAAGACAAAATTCTGCATCACTTTCTTCAAGAAAATATTAAAATATTTTACGTGCACGCTATCGCAGATTAGATGCCATCACCAATCCATATTGCACATGGACCAAAGAGACAGGAAGTAGGCGCATCTCAGCTCACCAAATCTCAAGTCACTGGTCAGAATTATTGACTACACACTAAAGGTACCTAGAGCCTAGACGTATAGCAGTTCGGAACGAACGTGTAAGAGGATAAGAAACTGCTGTAGATGAAGGCCTGCCTCTTAGTGGCTCCCCTCCTGCAAAAAAATTCCACTGCAGATGGAATCTTCCCGTCGAAGACCAACCTTCAGAGTTCCATAGCAGATTGAAGAAAAGTTACTTTGTCAAAATTGTTTCTAACTTCTGAGAGAATAATATTCTGGGAGATCTATCTGTACTTCAGAAAATTGTTCATGATTGATGGTTGCATCATAACCCTAATTCTGGATAAGATTCTGGATGAAACTGTATCATGTTACAAAAGATAATGATCTGACGTGGTAGCACGAAATAAGTATGCGAGACTTGAAGAAACCGATAACCTGCAGTTCCACTTTACAACAAACTGTTATTTTATTCAGAGTTTATTAGAGAAATAAATTGAATCAATCTTTATCGCGAAGGAGATCACAAGTGGTAAAGAGAGAGAGAGAGAGAGATTACGCAAAGTGTGTCTCCTTAACCTGCAAGATGAGATTAGCTTAAAGGATCCATTTTGTTAAAGCACTATTCTGGCTCACGCTGCTGCGTATTATGGAAAGCCCCAGCAAAAATGACTTTGCACTTTCTTATTTGAACTACGTGGCTGCGGGCTTTTTGACAAAGAATAAACTGTGTAACCAGTTATAGGTGGGTTTACACTATCATAGTGTTGCCGAAGGAGAGACAGAGAGCGGGTTGGTTTTCACAAAATAATTACATGACTTTGGTCCTTTTTCCCACACAGAAATTTTCTCAGCAAGATCGACGTCAGATTCGATCTTGCTCTTCTGTAATAGAGACGGCTGAACGCAAATAGGAGTTCAACACTAAAAGGATCGAAAAAAAAGTTCCCGAAACAGGACATTGATTGGAGATAACCGATTCGAGGCTCAGCTGAGCATATATGCAATTCAAGCGTGTTTCCTCGCTTTAGAGCAGCCTTGAATTAAGGACAGACAGGTAAATTGAGGGAATTACGCTTGTGAAGAAATCGAGCTTTATCTCTATAAGTCAAATTGGCAAACTACCCAACGCACGATGGTGAATAAAATTTCAGAAGAGAAAGAGCTGCATTGACTGAACGAATCTGGAAAAAACTGTCTAGCCGAATGCTAAGTCCAAGGATAACGATGATTTCGGGTGTCAGCTGAACCACACAATAACCTTTGTTCAAACTTCAGTTTCTCCTAAACTCGTAACAAGCAAGCAAGAATGTGGTCTATAAATACAGAAGTTTATTGTTTCAAGGGCATACGGGGATTTGATAACATGGACTTGGTGAGATTGCTCTGATATGGGCACTATGAAACATTCAATTTGGCTTATCTATGATCATGAATGCAAGACCTGATCAATTTCTGATCTGGACGTAGGCTGCCAGCGTTATCCGCTTATATACGAAGTCAATTATCTCATATCCACGTGGAGTATCTTCGAAATATAGGCTACACATATCGAAAATCTTGTTCTCCAGTTGTAATCTCGAACAAACTGTTGGAAATGTGCTTGAAGAAATGTCGTAAGATTTACAGTTATATTTTCTAACGTTTTGTGCACAGCAGGCCTCGTTGACTTTAATTCTTCCTTTCACCTGGGAGTCGTCAATTCTGAAACCAGGTAATCTTCAGCTTATATCTATCTCATGTACACCAAGGTATAGAATCAACCCGTGTCAGGAACATCTCTACAAAAATTCTACAAACCTTTCCTGTATATTGTGGACATATCACATTTCAGACACCAATTTCTATCTTTACTCATTTTCTTCAGGCTAAGGAACTTTGCATCGAGGTGAAGTGCAGGTTCTTTAAGAGGAATGTTCGACTGACATCTCTCAACAGTAGTATATAATGAAGACTTTTCTCAGAAAGGAAAGATTTAGATCGTTGACCAGTCGGGAAGTATCTCCAGCTAGAGAGACATCCCAAAAAACTCAAGCATGAAGGATATATCTGAGTGAGAAAAGAAGAAGATCTATGACCAGTCGAGAGGTGTATCAAGCTCGAGAGACTCAGATCTTGAACAGATCCAACGCACCTTTGACGAGCTATAATCATCAGCAACTTCTCTGTGTCTTTTAGAACAATATTCGTATGATTTTAATTCATTCAACCAAATTGTAATATAATAGATACAATTAGTAAGCAAACTGGACCACCGTACTTAAAGAGTATACGCTTCATTATCACGTTTTCAGTTCAAAGGTCTCTCAAGGTGAATCAGGCTGGAGAAACGTCGTTTGAAGCAGAGCCAACTGACCTTGGAAGAACTATGACGATCAGCAACTTGTGTGAGTCTTATATAAGAGTTTTTATCCAAGGACAACAACGCTTCAGACAAGATATCACTGTTGTAGGACGTGGTGTCCCAGCACGTCAAGATTGAATACTTACGCGTTCAGGAAGAATATCATGCAGAAAACTTACGGAGTGTTCATAATTATTCACTGATCTGTTGTCTGCCCTGTATCCTATCAGGGGTAATGTTTTATGACAACGGTTCCAATTGGTTCAAACTCCCTTTTCGAGTTTAGAGAGTATCAATAATACTTCTTCATCACAGCTGATCAGAGTTTATTGGGATCTATGTGAACGAGCTCCAAAATTTCTATTTAGATATCTTCCACGCTGCTCCTGATGTGCAGGAGTGAGTGTAATTTGTTTCTAAAGCTGATCAGATTTCATGCGTTCCAGTCAACTCCAAATGTTCCATATCCACACTGTCCTTTTTATCATGCTGTGTGCGTTCAGCAACCAGAGGAGCAGCAATGACTAGTCCGATTATTCCCAGCAGCTGTAGAATTTATCATCGAGTGCACAGTGTGCGATTAATGCCTTTGTTTGCGGTTAGCAACGTGTGTATTATACTCTGGTCTCGAAAAGAACAGCTCGATAAATCCATCCGAGATCCCACTAGACGGACTCTGTAATAACCCACTAAAGGCTAAAACTGCAATATAGTGGTAGAAAGGTCGAACCCACAGGGACAGAGGAACACACAGGGTACAAAGTGTCACGTTTTAACAGACTATTGAGGAGTTTGAATTCTCAGGCAACTGTCACTCCCAGAAATACTGCAAGTGTCCACTCGGAGCGCACTCGGAGGTCGCACAGTGCAGCGTAACACACACACACACACACACACCTGAAACTACAGAAACACAACCCAGAGATCCGTTAGGACCTCTACCTCAAGATTTCAGGGGGAAAGTCTCTCAAGAGTACACTCGGCAAAGCTGCGGGCAGTGACTTCCAACTCCGGCTTTTACAACACTTCCACTAGCTTGCTGCTAGTGTAGGAAACCCGGTTTGGACTGCCTACTTCGGATCGAAGTCACTCCTACGCGGTGAACAACACTCTCAACTCACAAAACGCGCAGAGAACACAGGTCCGCACTGAAGGACTCACTGTGAAACATTCCAGTAACACAACAACAGTCTATTGAAGAGTTTGAATTCTCAGGCACTTGTCATTCCCAGAAATACTACAGGGGTTACCCTCAAAGCACCTGCTGCAGCGTAACCTGAATTTACAACCAAGGCTTACACGAAGTAGCAAAACTTCACTTTGGCATTCAGGGGAAAAATCCCAAGGGAGTACAATCAGAAAGAAACACTCGAAGGTGTAGGGGCGAAACTGTTCAAGTATCTAACTAGTCACTGGCTCTTAGCATCGGCAGTCACCCGCAGGTACAGATCCGAACTACTCAAGTCTCTAACCAATGTACTAGCTCTGAACATTCGGCCGAAGGCCTTCAGCTACAAAATGCGGAACGCTAAGTTGTAACTCCTCGTGCGTGGTGACAGAACTCAAGGACACAAACACGCAAAGGAAATGGGTTCCTGATCTGCACTTCTGATGGGAAAGAACCCCAGGCAAAACGCCTGGAACTATTTTATACCTTCTAAGTCCTACCTAGCACTACACTGCACTACGCTACACGCCTGCACGGAACCACGCTACACTACACTCCGCGGAACCTGTACTACGTCTCCTGCGCGGCCGACTGCCGCGCACTAACTCCCTACCCTGCCACTCTTCCGCTCGACTGCGCAGTCCCAACCGCTGCAACGCCGCGGACACCTCCCCCTCGAGGGCGGACATGGTATCCTGTGCCTTCGACAGAAAGGCCTCGAGCTTCTTCGCTACCTTCCGCCGACTCCTACTGTCGCCTGACAACAACCCGGCTGCGCGCAATTCAAACTCACGCAGTGTGAGTTTCTCCTGCGCCTTCACTTCCCAGTGGGCGTAGCCCTTGAGACAGTGGGCGACTCGCCTCGCCGTCTCCACCTTCGTGCGATCCGCCTCCTTCCTGCGATCCTCTTCAATTATCACTAATTGCGATTCGGCTTCAGCACGTTGCGCTCTCAATTCGCCACACTCTGACTGCAACCTGCGGATTAACTCTTCATCCGCCTGCCGTGCGAGCTGACATTGTTCCAACAACCTCGTCTGTCGCACGAGCTCTTCTGACAAAATCCGATTCTGGGCCTGCTCAGCGTTGAGTGCTTCCTTGACCT